AGAGTAGGCAGAAGGCAATTTTAATCCTTAGTCTGTAAGCCATGGTCCCAAAACAACTGCCAGCCAAATCTCAGGCCAGCTCAAGGTCACACTAATATTGTCACCACCAATGCCAATTTGCAGTTGGCATAAGCAGCCTAAGACACACATCCCAGTGGTTATCATCACCAAATGCAGTCTGAAGTGAGTCAGGAGGAGGAGCATGTTAGTCAGTCTTCAGGAGGAGGCGGGGCAGTGACTGGCATTTTGAGCTTCCAGCCTGGCTGGATGATGAAAAGGTCGTCGTCAATGGGAGTGTCGAATTTAGCCTTTTTGAAATAATGCCGATTCTCGTTCACAATGTCTGGCGCGGAGAGGTGTCGGAGAAGGATGATATGGGAAGGAGGGGAGGAAGGTGGATCACGGGAGTGAGAGAAGGGACAGATTGAGAAGCAGCCGAAAAGCTGGCCACAAAGGACACCAGAAAAAGGGGAAGCTCACGTAAAAAGAGTTACTAGCCAATCTGGCAAGCCCATAGCATGCCTTCAACTGTGCCCTTACACTCCTCCCCTGCCTCACACCGTACCCTTCCCCTTGACCTCCTTACAGCCTACGCACCCTTCCAGTTGGTGCCCGTGCCTGTCAGTTGTCAGCTGCTGCCCCACAGGCAGTCTACCCTTTTTCAAATCACATTGGAACAACCTTCTCGTTGACCTCTCCACACCCTACCCGCCTTTCCAGTTGGTGCCCGTGCAGCCAGCTGTCCGCTGATGCCCCACAAGCTGTGACTTTAGAGTCGACTCAAAAGTCACCCCGGTGTCCGTGCCAGTCAGCTGTCGGCTGATGCCCCACAAGCTGTCTTTCTCAGACCAAATCCTTCCGTTTGACCTCCTTCCACACAGCTCTCACCTTTCCAGTTGGTCCCCGTGCCAGTCAGCTGTCGGCTGATGCCCCACAAGCTGTCTTTCTCAGACCGAATCCTTCCGTTTGACCTCCTTCCACACAGCTCTCACCTTTCCAGTTGGTCCCCGTGCCAGTCAGCTGTCGGCTGATGCCCCACAGGCAGTCGCCCTTCTTCACTGTCGTTGCCACAGTCACCGTCTTGCGCTTGCCTATGCGGGGCACCTGCCATTGAGAGTAGCATAGGACAGACACAATGTAGGGGGGTTTGAGTAAGACGGGAAGGGTGGTTACCAAAAAGGGCATGGCGGATATTGAGGATACATGGCGGTTCCTGAAGGTAGAAAGTGGTTTTCAAGACGTACATTTTCGTGACCAAGGAGTACACTGTGGTTACCAGAAATTGCATTATGGTTACCAGAGTGCACAGAGGTTACCAGAGTGCACGGAGGTTACCAGAGTGCACGGAGGTTACCAGAGTGCACGTGTGGTTACCAGAGTGCACGTGTGGTGTGCACGGAGGTTACCAGAGTGCACGTGTGCAGGTCATTGCGAGGAGGCATGGCGCGAGGGTCCTCGCCAATGCGGTCCTGACACCCCTCGTACACATCTGAGACACCGCGGGGAACGGTGGGGAAGGGGAAGAGGGGGAGAGGGACGTAGGGGGACGGGTGAGGGTGGGGTTTGAGCCGACTTAGAACCCACGCAAATCCATTCTTAATAATCAGAGGTACGTGCGCGGCCATTGCTTGGAATCGCTCCTCATGGCTTTGCTCCACGACCACAGCGTCGAATTGGCGGGAGGAGAACACGCGAACGACAGGGCGGTGCTATACCATCTCGTAATGCACACTCAGAATGGATCAGCAAGCGAGTGGCAGGCGGTACGTACGCGGCCATTGCATGGGATCGCTCCACATGGCCTTGCTCCACGACCACAGCGTCGACTTGGCGGGACGAGCACGCGGAAGCGACAGGACGGCAATTCATCAAATGTGCAACAGATGAGCCCTGAGTATTTATGTACAGCACTTGGCAGGGGAAAAGGTACGTACGCGGCCATTGCATGGGATCGCTCCACATGGCTTTGCTCCACGACCACAGCGATGACTTGGCCGGCCCGAGTCCCATATTCCCCTGCTGGTGCCCCCCCGCGCCGAACCTAAACACCCCGTCGCCTTGCTGCTGCTGCTGCTGCTGCTGCTGCTGCTGCTGCTGCTTCTGACGTGACTGCGGTTGCTGCTGCGGTTGCAGGTGCTGCTGCTGGGGCTGGCGCGACTGCTGATGCTGTTGGTACTGGGGGTGCTGCTGCCACGACCACTGGTGTTGCTGCTGCTGCTGTGGTTGGTACTGCGCTGGTTGGATGAACGCTTGGGTCTGCTGCGTTTGAAACGCCGTGTGCTGCGGCGGCGCATGCGGTTGGTTTGAGTGCTGTTGGAACGCGGTTGTGCTAGCGGAGGCCAGTGTACGGTTGGGATTGTGCTGGTGAGCTGTTGGATCATATCGACCGTCGGATCCGCGCGGAGTTTGCCGTTGCCGCGTGCGGATGAACAGCGGCCGGTGGCGCGGCGTGAGATCGCCGAGACCTGATCCGCTCGACGCCGTCGCGCCACTTTGAAACGGAAGCATCGCGCCACCCGATGTTAGTAGTGAAAGATGTTAGTAGTGAAAGATGTTAGTAGTGAAAGTATATCCCTATCCCTACAGAGCTATAAACGTGCATTCACTAGCGGAGGACCAGAAAGGATCAGGAACCGATGTTAGCAACAGAGCGCTTGGGACGAGTCACTACCGGAGGATCTGAAAAGATCGAAAGAGGCGACAATTGACGATCCGCCGAGGTCAGCAGCAAGTGAACGTGGATCAGAGTAGGAGCAGCTGATGAACCAGAGGAGCCACTCCCAACCCAACTGGAGCTTCGATTTGAATGCACGAAAACCTATGGAAGCTAGCTGGGCGCAAAAATGGCGCAAACCAGCAAGTGTGTTTGCCAGACTAAATTCCCCTCCTCTGCCCCCATATGTTCGGCTGTACGGAAGCGGAGAAATAGCGCGAAAACACCAATGGTCAGCAGCAACCTCAAAAACCTGAACCTCTTCTCAGAGACTCGGCTAAGGTTTGGTTCAGTCCATGCATGACATATTTACTGTTTGTGCTTCAGATCTTCTGCCGAGGCTGGATCACTGGCCGGTATGGTGGGTTTGGAGCAGACCAGGTGAAAACTTTCCTACCGCTCTGTAAACCAGCAAGCACCTGAAACAACTACAAATGAAGCTTACAACTCTACATATGCTGTTAAATTATATAGGACGGAATGAAATGCTAAAATATAGTTTTCCTCTTAAATGCATCAATATAACTTCTGAAACAGAGCTTTGCATTTCTACTCAATTCTACCATATAACATGTAAAATTTTCTCTGTTCACCCTCAGTGTAGTAGGTAGGAAGCGTCTGATTGACGCCAATCGAAAACCTAGAATGCTTCTGGCATCCCGCCATTTCCGCTCAGTTATTTCTCTGTTTGCTCGTCCCAGCGTTCTAGCCCTGTTGCTGCAACTTGAAACGCTTCGATGTCGTTTTTCCTCACTCGGCCCTTCCTTCGCTTATGTTGACGCGGATGGAGGTATCCGTGTTTCAGCAATGGGAGCGCGTCATAGCGCACTTCGTAAGAACGATTTTTCTCAGTAGATCAAAGCCGTATCCTGCAGCCAAAAATAGTAGAAGTCGATTAGAATCAGGAAAATTTTCAGCTATGGGACCGCGTCGTAGCGCATGTGTTGAGATAGCTCATCCTGCTCAGTTTTCGAGACTTGCTCAACTCGCTTTCGGCTCTCTTCTTGATCCGTCGCTCGCCGTGGCAGGACCTTGACTGTTTCTATGCACAGGTGGAGCAGCAGAGACGGCCCGAGCTGAAGGACAGGCCTCTAGGCGTCACGCAGGTGAGCGTCAGGACTATTGATTTTTCCCCTCAAAACCAGTGGCATTTTTTCACAATCGATGTGACTTTTGAGTCGACTCAAAACTCGCCTCTAGGCGTCACGCAGGTGAGATTCAAGACTGTTGATTCCCCCCCTCAAAGCCAGTGTTATTCTTTCACAGTCTGCGTTTTGATTGGAGGTTCCAATAGGGAGCTTGGTTTGAAGCAGAGCGGCCTTGTGCACGCGCCAAAGTTTTTTTGCACTACAAAACCGTTTTTTTTTTTTTTTTTTTTTTTTTTTTCCTTCATGGCAGAAATTCCTGGTGGTGACTGCCAATTATGCCGCTCGAGGTCGAGGAGTCCCCAAGATGGCCTCAATTGATGATGCTCGAACCAGGCAAGCAAGGGGAGGCAAGTACAGCCTAGGGGAGAAGGCTGTGATAATGTAGACCTTCATGTTCAGGCAATGTGTGTACAGTGCAGGGATGATGGGTACAGTGAGCGCAGGTGATTATTGAATAGATCTTTCTAAAGAGATTTTGTCAGTTGAATCAAAGCAGAATTATTGTGCTGAGTTTATATTAGATGCTTGGGCATGTAGACGTACAGGTGGTTGTGTGTTTATGAGCTAACCACACGTGTGATGTCCCCTCCCCTGGACCCTGCTTTAGCCAGGTGTCCAGAATTGTGCTGGCCAAAGGGGAGGATCTCACACCCTTCAGAGCAGCCGTACTGGTGGTTGTGTGTGCTAAACTAACCACGCGTTTCATGTCCCCTGGCCCCTGTTCTACGCAGGTGTCCAGAAATCGTGCTGGTCAATGGGGAGGACCTCACGCCCTACAGGCAAGCCAGCAAGAGGATCTTCTCTGTCCTTGCTCGGTTCGGAACCCTCGAAAGGTGCTCACGTTTTCTCTTCATGTTATTCCCACGATTATGTTCCCGAGGAGGATAGGATTCTTCTCCTTATTTTACTGTCGCGTTCAGGCCCTTCTTGCTTCCCCCCCCAGTTCCTCTATTCCCCTTTTGAGTCGACTCTCATGAGTCGACTCAAAAGTCACCTCATGAGTCGACTCAAAAGTCACCACGTTCAGGCCCTTCTTGCTTCTCCCCCCAGTTCCTCTATTCCCCTCCACCTACTCGCCCCGTCCTTCACTCCCGCGCTCTCCTCCCTTCTCCCCCACCCCCTCCCCCGTCTCATGCATCATGTGGTCTTATGATAACCCCCGCCCGCGTGGCAGGCTCGGATTGGACGAGGCGTTTGTGGACCTTTCACCTCAAGTGGCCGCCATGGTGGCAGCAGGAAGCTTCAAGGAAGGCTTCCTTGGGCATGTGGAGAGGGGTGCAGCAACAGGAGGAGGAAAAGGAGGAGGGGCAAGTGAGATTGATAGGGAAGGCGGACGAGGAAGTGAGGAGAATGATCATGATGATCGTTGTCTGTTTCTGGGGCCAGGAGAGTGCCACTTGGCAGCAGGCAGTTGGCTGGCCGGCGAGGCAAGGCGAGCAGTGGAGGAGGAGACCGGGTACCAGATGTCATGTGGCGTGTCACACAATGTGAGTGTCACACAATGTGGGTTGCTGGGGTAGTGCCACCTGGCAGCAGCCATTTGATGTGGGGGGCGTAACTACCTGCATTCTTGTGAGACGGGGTACCAGATGTCATTTGGCGTGTCTCATTGTGGGAGTCGCGTGCCTGCCGCTGTCTTGTAATGTGAGCGCGTTGTCGCATAATGTGAGTGGCATATTTTGAGTCGGCTCAAATTACGCCTGGGCCAGCGCTGGAGGAGGCGACGGGGTACCAGATGTCATGTGGGGTGTCGCGTAATGTGAGTGCGTGTTTTAAATGCCTCTGGTTTTCCGTGCCATCGGTCTTTCATTCCTTTATTCTTCTCACGACATCCCTTCCTTTTTCTCCTATCTTTCTTTTTCCAACCCTGCTTCCCAGAAAATGCTAGCCAAGCTTGTGAGCTCCCGCCACAAGCCCAATGACCAGACGACACTTGTCGCGTCCGCAGCCGTGGATTTCATCTCCAATCTGCCCGTCCGGAAGGTACCAGGTGTTGGCAGGCGATTGGAGGAGCAGCTTGCCTCGAGGGGTGTTACTGTAATGAAGGGTCTTCTCGCCTTCACCCTTCAAGATCTGCAGATGTGGTAAGCCAGCCTTGTCTGTGTGTGCGAGATTGGTAGGCGAGATTGGTAGGCGAGATTGGTAGGCTAGATTGGTAGGCTAGATTGGTAGGCTAGATTGGTAGGCGAGATTGGTAGGCGAGATTGGTGGGCGAGATTGGTAGGCGAGATTGGTAGGCGAGATTGACTGGTTGAGTTGGTGGATTAGATCGGCTTCCTAGGTGGACACCTTAGGTTGACACGCTTTTTAGATAGACATTTCACTAATTCCTGTGTGGTTTTATGGGTGTGCGTGCACGTGGGTAAGCTTGTGTGTGTGTGTGTGTGTGGTTGTATGCGTGTGTGGGAGCGTGATTTCACGGGGATGTGTGTGAGTGTCCTTTTCGCTCTCCACTGCCAGGCTCGGCCCGAAGCTGGCGCCATTCCTCTTTGGTGCGTGCCGAGCCTACGACCCCACACCGGTGACATGCAAGGGACCAGCCAAGAGTGTGTCTGTGGAAGACTCGTTCCCGCCCATCCACTCCCTTGCACGGGCTAAGGTGCGCCATTTGTATTTCGACTCTTAAAGTTCAATGTATGTAGGTAACAGGGTAACAGGCAGGCCTGAGCGAGACCATCTTCAGTGACATGCAAGGGACCAGCAAAGAGTGTGTCTGTGGAAGACTCGTTCCCGCCCATCCACTCCCTCGCACAGGCCAAGGTGCGTAGATCTGTGCTTGGAGTTACACAGGCGTGTCATGTGTGCTTAGATTTACGCAGGTGGCAGGTATTCCTGAACCAACACCCCTAGTGGCATGCAAGGACCCAGCCAAGAGAGTGATTGTAGAGAATTCCTTCCCTTCCATCCATTCCCTCGCACAGGCCAAGGTCTGTAGAGTGGATGTCTAGAAAAAAAGAAAATTCAGACCGCCAACGTCCTTCTCCTCACCTGTTTGCCTCTCTAACCCCCGGCCCATCGTGCAAAGCCTGCTGCCTGACCTGCTCGCTGTGTACACACCAGCACATAATGAAATGCCGATATTTCTTTTTCCTGTCCCCTCTGCCTCTGTACGCACCAGCCTATCGTGCACAGCCTGCTACCTGACCTGCTCACTCGCATAGACGAGGAGTGGGAGGAGACAAGGAGACGACCAAAGACGTTCACTGTCAAATGGAGGAAGAGAGAGAAGGAGTACCGGTGAGGGGGCTGTAGGGTGAAGGGGTATATGAGTTCTAATGAAGAATGAGAAGGTGGTAAGGATGAGAGGGAAAAAAAAAAAAAAAAAAAAAACGCCCTCTCTTTTTGTCTCCCGATCCCTCTATCTTGTAAAACGAGTGTGCTTTGGAGACATCGTGTTTTTGAGACGTCTCAAAATACCTTCTCTTGTTGTCACTGATCTCTCTATCTTGTCCGCCCTCCACACGGTACGTTCACATCTGCCTCGTGCCCCTTGCCTGTGCAAACGTTTTCCCCGTTCCCCTCGTCCCACGTCTTTTACCCCCTCATCACCACCATTCGCCCTCCAGGTTCACCTCTGCCTCGTGCCCCATGCCTTCCCAAGCCCTCTCTCCCTCCACCCCTCCCGCCCTCCGCGTTTCCTCTCTCCTCCGCCTCGCCTCCTCCCTTCTCTCCCGTGCCTTCACTTCTCCTTCAGCTGCAGCTGCCACTTGTAGCAGCAGTAGAACAGAAGCTTCTGAGCTACCTTCTCTTCCAGCAGTGGCCAGCTCTACTGCTGCTGCCAGTTGTGATGCTCGTGATTCCGCATTTCAGGTCCTCCCAGTGCTGGTGATCAACGTGGGTGCCACGAATTTCCTCTCCTCCTCCCCCCAGCAGCCCGAGTGTGGGCAGCCAGGGAGTGCTGCTGCTGCTGGGGGCCTGCAGCGGTGGCTGAAGAAATCACACAGTACAGACATTGGGAATGCTGGTGGAGGGGACCTGCAGCAGTGTCTTGAAACACACAGAACAGACACGGGAAGATTCAATGCTGGGGGCCTGCAGCGGTGGCTGAAATCACACAGTACAGACACTGGGAATGCTGGTTCTGGGGGTCTGCAACAAGGCATCAAGCCACACAGAACCGACACTGGGAGTGCTGGTGCGGAGGGGCAGACGGTACAGGGAGGAAGGGAGCAGAGAGTTGGGAGATGGGAGGAAGATGAGATGAGAGGGAGGGATGTGATAGAACGTGGAGAAAGTTGGTGCTCGCAGGTGCTGCCACCAGAGAGGGTTCCTGCTGGGAGTATGGATCGGAGTATGGATCGGAGTATGGATTGGTGGGTGGATCGGTATGTGAAGCCACAAGGAGGAGGTTTACGGGAAAGCAAGCAGGGAAATGGGAGAGGAGAGGAAGATGAGATGAGAGGGAGGGATGTGATAGCACGTGGAGTGAGTGGTTGCCCTCAGGCTCTGCCACTGCGGAGGGATGCTGCTGCTGCTGGGAGTATGGATCGGTGGGTGAAGCCGCGAGGAGTGGGCGCAGGGTATTTTGTACAGCGGGAAAGGGAGCAGAGAGATGGGAGAGAGGAGGAAGATGAGATGAAAGGGAAGAATGTGGTACTCGGTGCTGAGAAGAGATGCTCGCAGGTGCTCCCACTGAGGAAGGCTGGGAGTGGGTACTTGGATCGGTGGCTGGGGCCTCGAGTGGGTTCTAGGAAGATGGGAGAAGAGGAGGAACTGGTGACGCAGGGAGGGGTGGCGAAGGCTGATATTGTTGAAGTGGAGGAGAGAGTGAGGGATGGAGAGGGAGGGAAGGTGAGGGATGCTGATGAGGATAACTATGCTCAGGTGATGCATAATGGTGGGTGTGTTGCAGAAGTGGTTCAAGGCTGGATGGCTGTCAACGAGGGTGGAGGGGGGATGTCGTATCAGCCTGCAGATTTGGACCTTGGTGCGGAACGTGCAACCGTTTATGACGCTGCGTGTGCGACCGCGTGTGACACGTGGACGCCGAATGGCATTGCATGCAATAATATGTGGAGGTGCGAGGAATGTGGGAAGCTGGTTCAGGCCGAAGGGGTGGAGGAGCATCGTGACTATCACTTTGCTTTGAGGCTGGAAGCAGAGGAAAACGGGGTGGCCAAGAGCTCAAAATTAGACCGCCCTTTGAAGAGGGAGATGGCAAGTGCCGAGGGCAAGCACACTCAGACAATGCAAACAAAGCGTTCTAAATCGGAGAGAAAGTTTTTGGGTGGCCCTGGAAAGGGAAAGGCAGACCGTAATGCCACTTTGGATCGATTTGTGTCTCGCCAGAGTGTGCTTAAATGAATCAGCGTTGTAGATCCCTGATTTTGTTTTCATGTTGATGGTTCCTTTTGCGCACTTCCCAAAACTTGACATGTATGGGTTTCCAAGTCTTGTGATTGATTATGATGTGCGTGTTCACTCATATCGAAATCGTACTATGACGTCTTCCAGATTTTGCGTGAATGAGTTGCCAAATCAGCGATTTCAGCCAGCCTCAGCAAAGGCCTATGGCCAATTAGCTGGAAGCACGCGGGACTGGTTTGCGTGGGACACCCCCTTCGCCAAGAACCTGGGTCGGGGGGACGTCGCGTCGCCGTGCCTTGCGTGCGCACGACATTTGTGAGCAATTGAGGAACATGGGGACGTCGCTCCCTGGGAAATGCAACATTGCGTCTTGAAATTGGCGCGGCTCGATTGGAACATCCTCCAATCACAGCGTTACGTCCCATCGGTTCTCGATCCTCCCAACCCAGGAGGAACCAATCGTTCACCCAGAAAAATCACGCGACTCGACGGTTTTCGGATTTGTGTCAATCCTGTCGACCACTCGTGCACCACGTCAGCACTATTTTGAATTCCAAAAATCCTATCGATCCTACAATTTTTTTCGCGGTATGGTTTACATTTTCGTGGTTGGGAGTGGGTGTGTTACTAAAGGTACGTAACTTTCTCGAGAATGGTGTGGCTTGTGCTCTGTAACTTCCCGCATGATATAATTTTGTCGTGGTGTATGTCTGCACAGTAAATACGCCGGTGTCGTGTAGGTAGTGGTTCAGATATTGCGATTTTGGTCCTTCCGCAGTCAATGCCATCTCGAGTAGTTATATGCTTAGTCACAGTTAGGCCCGATTTATTACGGGGGTATCACGAACAGTCACAGTACACCTCGTAACTATCGTGTTGATCACAGTGCTATCACGGATAGTCACACCCTGCCCCGCAAGTCTATCACGTTTGGTCACAGATGAAACGCCCAATCGAGAACTGTAACTACTCGAGTCACTGCAGGGATTAAGGGAATAATTTATCGCGCGCACCGTTTTGTCCGTAGTATCACGTAAAAGTTTCGCGACAACTCTCGGTAACTCGTTAAAAAAATCTGCAATTTCTTCTTTACTATCGAATGTCCACTGTTCGATCGATGCATAATGTCCCTAAGAATATCACTTTTAGACGAAAGAAACACTAAGATTAAAATTTGTTCCCAATACAGAACTAAAATCCATTCGGATGGGATATGATTCGGAAGCATCAACCCTAAACACCTTGTCGCATAGTGTTTAGGGTTGATGCCTCCCGAAGGACGTGCCATCCAATAGGGGTTTATTTTTTTTCTTCTGTTCCCTAAATGTCAGGGCTAGAATAATGCGCGAGGTAACAAGCAATCAAGGTTGGGATTCCCCAAAATTGCTACTGTTTCTTTCATTGTTTCAATTTAATTGTGATCCATTGATCGAGTGACCAAACGTGATAGCTTTTCGGGAGGGGGGGAGTGATCATCCGTGATAGCACTGTGACTGTTTGTAACTCTCCTGTCTCCAAGCGCAATATAACGGGCAGAATTGTGACCTCTTTATAATCTCCCATGCAACCTCTGTTTCTGCTCGTCGCCTTGTTTAAACAGAAGCGCGTAATCATTGTAGGTATATCGCACCAACTGATACACGTATTCTTACTCTGCAAAACGCGACAGAATCTACCACCCACAAACCTACGAATTAAAAAAATATTCTAACGCAGTAGTTTACTTGAGATAGAGTGACAAATACGTGCTTGCAAGTGTAGAAAAAGGGTCGGTCGATCGGATTTTTGGAATTCGAAGGTGTAATAGGTTACCCGGTTCGCTCGTCTTGACGGTGCGCCACGTCAACATTTTGCGCCCCGGTTTACAAGGACCTAGAGCTCCAACTCAGATGGCGTTCCTGAGATGGGCGAACTTCCGAACTTCCCCCTAGCAACAGTGCACAGAACACGTGCCTAAGGCATGGCAGCAACGGGGGGAGTGAATCTGGACGTCGCATGAGCTGGGCGGTGAGGGTCGTGCGATTTTTGCGCATGGCAACTTCCCCTGACGCCCAACGTCAGAACCACTGACGGTTTTGACTGTCACAGGACCGAGTCGTGACTGGGTTTGGCACGTTCAGAAAGGTCAAAGAATACCGTGACAAATGGAAAAGGAAAAACAGGCGCCAATCCAACAGCAGAAAGCAATTTCGTTTCACGGTCACCACACAGCACATGCTCTACAACCTACATAACCAACCTACCCAGCACGCTCGGAATCGCCCCCAGACTGTTTTCATCGGGTTATGGGAGATTGTGGCCGTTTGGAATTGGCGCATGAACGTTGAATACGGAAGCATGTGATTGGTTGGAAGTTTTCTCACTTGTTTTTCGCACAATGAGACTGACATCGCATGGCACGTGTGGTGGGTGTGCAAAATACCCAGGACTGCCACGCTGGACCAATAGTGCAGCACTCCGAAGTTCTCCCATCTCAGGAACGCCATCTCACATTCCGCGCCGAGTGTGTAGGGAAACTATATTCCAGGTCCATACTTTCAGATTTCTCTCAAATTTAGCCGCGGGTCGACTCAAAAATTACTACTTTCTAGAATTTCGCTCACGGGAGGGCCAAAGTATGTTCAAAATTGGTCCTGCGGGGCGAAGTTTTCGACACGTGTCCAATTTCGCTTTGAAAAAATTTTGACGGGGCAAAAAATAATAAAACCCCTCGGGACCTAGGGCACATTTGCGGGAGGGATCAACCCTAAACACCAAGCGGGTCCCCGTGTTTAGGGTTGGTCCCTCCCGAACGTGTGTCCTGGTTCCCCTAGGGGTTTTATGTTTTTTGCCCCCGTCAGAAATTTCTAATAAGAAACAGGACACGTGTCGAAAATTATGCCTCGCAAGACCAGTTTTGAACATAATCTGGGCCTCGCGTGAGCAAACTTCCAGAAAGCTGTACTTTTTTAGTGGAATTAAGACTAAATTTGAGATATTTTTGAAACTATGGAGCTGGGATATACTTTTCCGAGTGTGTAACCAGGGTACAAATAGCCCCCGTGGCAACACCTTGTATGCTGGACACGTGGCTACAACTGTGTGCACGAATTGTGGGGTGTCTTCGTTGTGCAACTTCATGCACTGGCGAAGCGCTCTCCCGTTTCGCCAGCTGCAAATCACACACGCTCGCATGAACGTGAGCACGCCCGTTCGCGCCTCCGACTCGAGTCAAGTTCATATTTCAAACTCGAACTTTTGCAGAGCCCATACAATGCTTGGTTCGCGAAGCACCCTTCGCGAAATTAGCGAACAGGGTAACCACCCAAAGTTAGAACTTTATTTTGAACTTTTAAACAGACCACACGCGCCCTAAGGTGTTCTTTCCGCGTCTGTCGTCATCCGCGTTGGACAAACCCTTCCACCAACCACCACTAGCGAGGCATGTGGCTCCATGAGAGCACCGCCAGCAGCACTCCCCATCGCGTAAAAACTTCCCGGCTCGCTCTTCTCACTTCATCCCAACTTCTTCTCCCATGAACTCTCCTCGGCTTTCTGAAATATTAAGAACCTGAGTCCGGCACGGAAACGCACTTTGCTTCCTTTCTTTCTTTCTTTATTTCTTTCTTTCTTTATCCTCCCAAGATATTCTCGCACGCGTGACCACTCCACGCCACCCAAGTTCTTGCCTCTCTACGACGACCAATCGCGCCGCGCCTCATTCTTCGAATAGATTAAGACTCTTTCCGGAGTTACCCTCGCAAATCGAACTCAACCATGGATCAGATGCTCGGATGCCTCCAGGTGGACCAATCAACGGTCGCGATGGTCGAGCATTTCGGGCGGTTCGTCCGCGCGCTCGACCCGGGCTGCTATTGCGTCCCCTGGTGCTGCTGCTACCGCACCGCGGGGCTCATGAGTCTTCGCATCAATCAACTCGACGTGCGCTGCGAGACTAAAACGAAGGACAACGTTTTCGTGACAGTCGTCGCGTCTATTCAGTATCAAGCCATCCGCGAGCAAGTCGAAGACGCGTTCTACCGCCTCGCCGACCCGCAGGCTCAAATCCGCTCCTACGTCTTCGACGGTACGTGCACAACATTGCGCCTTGGATTTTCCCCTGTCTTGCTTCTCCCTAATTCCCCTTCCCCGCTTTCCCCCACCTACCCCTCCCTCTTTCCCCCTCCTCTTCCCGCTCCCCTCCTCTTCCCGCTTTCTCTTTTTTTCCTTATCTTTTTTTCCTTCTCTTTTTTCCCTTCTCTTTGTTTCCTTCTCTTTTTCCTTCTCTCTTTTTCCCTTCGTCTGCATCATGAACTCGGCAGTGTCAGTTTTTTGTTTCTCCAAAGAACAAGTTTGCGCCAAACCGGCTCTGCGTCTTCTCTTCGTGCCCTGCTTCACCCGCACTGCGCATTTCCCTGTTCCCTCATTCCCTCGCTTCCCCATCACTGCTTCCCCGTCTTTTCTTTCCCCTCTCTCCCTTCCCGCCTTCGCCCTATTCGATTGGTGTCCGCTCAGTTCTGCGAAGTAGCGTACCCAAGATGGACCTAGACGGGGTCACGTTCATTTCCCATCTTTCCGTCCCCTCAATCCCCTCCCTCCCCTCCCCTTATCTTGCCCTTTAATTTTGCCATCGCCAATTTAATTGTTGTCCGCGCAGTCGTGCGCAGCAGCGTACCCAAGATGGTCCTGGACGAGGTGTTCATATCCCAACTTTCCGTCCCCTTACTCCCCCCCTCCTCCTTCCCCTCCCCACCTTTTGCCCCATTCGTTTCTGCCACCGCCCTATCTGTTCGTCTCCGCACAGTCGTGCGAAGCAGCGTACCCAAGATGGACCTGGACGAGGTGTTCATATCCAAGAACGAGATCGCGCAGAACGTGGAAACAGAACTCGAAAAGGTTCGACTCCTTCCCCGCGCCCCACGTCCCATGCCACATGCCACATGCAACGTGCCCGTACCCCAACTCTACATGCCCTTTGCCCCATGCCACGTTCCACGTGCCCGGGCCCTAATTTAACATGCCCCTTGCCCCTTGCCCCTTGCCCCATGCCCCATGCCACATGCCACGTTCCACGTGCACGGGCCCCAATTTCACATGCCTTGCCCCATGCCCCAAACCACATGCCCTTTGTCCCATGCCCCAAGCCACATCCCCCTTGCCCCATGCCACATGCCCTTTGCCCCATGCCCCATGCCCCATGCCCATGCCATCTGCTATATGCCCCACGCTCCATACCTCCATGCCCTAATCCCCATGCTTGATGCCCGTCTGTTAATATTCCCAATGCCCCCATGACCTCAGGCCATGCACGACTATGGCTACCGCACCGTGCAGACGCTGATAGTGGTGCTAACACCCTAAGTGTGTGGCTTCCATACCCCGTTCCTCGTCCCCCATGCCGCATACCCCAATTTCACATGCCCCAATCCACATGCCCCTTGCCCCATGCCACATGCCACATGCCCCCATGCCCCCATCCCCCCATGCCCCAATCCCCATGCTTGATGCCCGTCTGTTGATATTCCCAATGCCCCCATGACCTCAGGCCATGCACCGCATCGTGCAGACGCTGATAGTGGTGCTAACACCCTCGGTGTGTGGCTTCGATACCCCGTTCCTCGTCCCCCATGCCGCATACCCCAATTTCACATACCCCATGGCCTCAGGCCATGCACGACTATGGATATCGCATCGTGCAGACGCTGATGGTGGTGCTAACACCCTCAGTGTCTGGCTCCCATACCCTCTTCCTCGTACCCCCCATGCCACATACCCCATGGCCTCAGGCCATGCACGACTATGGCTACCGCATTGTGCAGACGCTGATCGTGGACGTGGAGCCGGATGAGCGAGTCAAGGTCGCCATGAACGAGATCAACGCAGGTCAGTGAAGGTCAACGCAGGTCAATGGAAGTCAATGCAGGTCCGTAACTATCCATCATGCAGGCGCTGATAATGGACGTGGAGCCAGACGGGCGAGTGATGGTCGCCATGAACGAGATCAGCACAGGTCAATGAAAGTCAATGCAGGTCAGCGAGACAACACCGAACAATGGAAGTCAACGCAGGAATGTAGGTCAGTGTAAGTCAACACAGGTGAACCCGTGTTAGGCCAAGCCATGAACATGAGTCACGTGCCTCCTCACCCTTCCCCCTCTCCCCCCCCCCTCCCTTCCCCCTTTCCCCTTCTCCTCCCTCGCTTCTCCCCATATAGCCCAGCGCATTCGGCAGGCGACACAGGAGAAGGTGGAGGCGGAGAAGATTCTGCAGGTCAAGAATGCACCTCTCACTCTCTCTCCCCACACCCCTCTCTCTGCCCCATCCCTCTCTTTCCCCACACCCCTCTCTTTCCCACTCCCCATGCAGCCCAGCGCATTCGGCAGGCGACCCAGGAGAAGGCGGAGGCGGAGAAGATTCTGCAGGTGAAGAAGGCGGAGGGAGATGCCGAGGCTAAGTACCTCGCTGGCGTTGGTGTGGCTCGGCAGCGACAGGTACGGTAGTGGATAGATGGTAGACAGGTACAGTAAGTTATTACTGGTCAGCCAATCAATTCGCCTTTCACTCACTCCCTTCGCCATTACGCAACTTTAATCCCATCACACATTCCCTTCATCCCTTTGCACCCCTTTTAACTATTTTACACACTCCAGTAAACCCTGACCTGCATTGATTATGGGCTATGGACTTCTGTGCCGACTCACAAGGCAGCTCGTCACCCCTTAATAACCCTTTCAACCACTCTAGACCTTCCACTCAACCCTGACACCCATCTGCACTCGTGGCAGGCCATCGTGGATGGGCTGCAGGAGAGCGTGATTGGATTCTCCTCGCAGGCTCCTTACACCCCTTGGCAACTATTCAACCCCTTTCCACATTCCCCTCAAACCACATTCCCCTCAACCATCAGCACATTCATGGCAGGCCATTGTGGATGTGGTGCAGAAGAGCGTGATGGTTGACATCGAGTCAACTCAGTCAACTTACAATGTCGCATTCCCCTCAAACCACATTCCCCTCAAACCACATTCCCCTCAACCATCTGCACATTCATGGCAGGCCATTGTGGATGTGCTGCAGAAGAGCGAGATGGTTGACATCGAGTCAACTCAAAGTCAACTTACAATGTCGCATTCCCCTCAAACCACATTCCCCTCAACCATCTGCACATTCATGGCAGGCCATTGTGGATGTGCTGCGGAAGAGCGTGATGGTTGACATCGAGTCAACTCAGTCAACTTACAATGTTGCATTCCCCTCAAACCACATTCCCCTCAACCATCTGCACATTCATGGCAGGCCATCGTGGATGGGCTGCGGGAGAGCGTGATGGGATTCTCCTCGCAGGTTCCTGGAACCACCGCCAAGGACGTGCTTGACATGGTGAGATACAGGGCAGCGGTTGCGTTACTGGGGTTGCCATGTGTATAGAAGGTATTTTTGAGACATCTCAAAAATACCCTCTATACACGTGGTTCCTGGAACCACCGCTAAGGACGTGCTTGACATGGTAGCGATTGCATTCACTGGGGTTGACTTGCATTGACCCTGAGATATGCCTTCAATTGTACAATCTCTCCTATTCTGTCCATCTTTTGCCTTTACCCCATCGGCTTTGTATGATTTGTTCCTTTGTTGCTTACATCGCATTGTATCTCATTTTTCCTGCATCGCCTTCTATTCCCCTCTTTTGCACATTTCACTACTTCCCCAGGTAATGCTGACTCAATATTTCGACACAATGAGGGACATAGGAGCCAACAACAAGTCTTCCACTATATTTATTCCACACGGGCCAGGAAATGTGGGTGACATTTCCGCACAAATAAGGGATGGCCTCACTCAAAGTATTGTGGCCTCTAAGAATGTGTAGCTTGCTTGCTGCAGTTCGTGTGCGTACCCTTAGCGTGCATATCTCCCTACTGTTGTTTTTATTTGTCCATTGTGTCCTTGTGGAATAAATCCGTGTCATGTGTAGCCAGTCTTGGTGAGCATCGTGTCCACATGACTAATACGGTAGCTGCCAGAGACTTCTGAGACTGATATGAGCAAAAAACGATTCTTGTCATTTTGCCATTCCTGGTTGAGCTTGTTGTCCATTCATCTGTAACTCCAGTTGCCTTCAATTCTCATACTCCTCAATCCATAGCCACCTGCACCCACCGTTGCTTCCGCCACCTACGCCCTAGCTCGGAACTAATTGCAAACCAATTGTTCACGATAACCTGCTTTGACCCTGACTTGCAGTTGTGTTATTCGCGTTTGTGCTAGTTGTGCTATCAGTTTTAACAGCCCTCCTTGTAAGCAGACAGCCTTTGCTGAATTGTACAGTGCGCCACGGAAAGCTCAATTGCAGAATGCTGGCTATTCTCTGATTCACGGAAACTGAGCGGACAACACTTGCCCGCATCGAATCTTCTGATTCCCCTCCCCACCCCACACCTCAAGCCGCCGCCGCAACTCTTCTGACCATTCCACCCCACACAACCTCGACCCATCTCCCTCACCTGCCTTCCACGAATCTCCGATCTGCGGGTCAGACTCGAACACATGCCTCCCATTCGTCCATCCAAACCAACCCTACGTCACAGCGACCATACGGACAAATGAGTGCTGGCCAAAGAACTTCCGTGCGACACATCCAACTGTCCGTTTGATCTAGTCGCTGGACCCTTTCGCTACTGGTCAAGGTGGGGGAATGTGTAGCTAATGACCGTCCCTGCTTCCTTCCAATTGGAATGATGTAACGACGGTATGCCAGGCTGGTTTGCCTCGGTCCATGGAAGTTCAGCAGCACCCTGGGAAGATAGTCGTCACAGGCCGGACATCCAAAAGCTAACTGTAGGGGGGTGCTCCTCACACCAGGACTCCAGTCCGTGAGGAGAGAAATTCACCAGACCAGGCTATTTCCTTCAATTGTAATTGGAACAACTAGCGTGTTTCATGTTGGGGATATAATGAATCAGATGCAATTAAAAATCCTGGAAACATACACTAGCATGGCAGAGATCCTATGGTAGCACCATGCTACACTCCCCCACCATGCGGTTGCTAATTTCGTGCAAAGCCTCGCAGCTTCAGCTCCGAGGCGTTCTATGGTTAGAATGGCATGGGCGCATCTAAACTGGATAACCAAGCAAGGCTTCTCTACAGCAAGTCCCCCAACACAAGGGAGACACCTCCACCATCAGTGGTTCAAGAGTACGCAAACGTGACGTTATCAAGAGTGTGAGGTCGGTTTGCTAGTTGGTCGAGGTCACGAACGATCCGGAACACCGCGTCGGGTCGGGCTAATCGGTGAGCATTCGTTGCCATCCGCTTGAATTGATCCACCTTGGGTCCAAACCAGTCGGCCACTATGTGAGCGATCTTTTGGGGATTCTCCTCGAACAACCCAGCCCCGTTCTTGACAACGAAGGGAACATTGCCAGCTTCCTGTAACAAGGAACAAAGGAACAGAAAAGAGAGAAGGTGAGCAGGCAGTACAAAAAAGGAGCTAAACAGGGACAGAGCAGCAAACACATGTGATTAAAAAGCCACTGCTGAAGGGAGAGATTTGAAGGTACACTGACCTGGCCAGCAATGAAGCCATTCAAGATCATGGGTAGGCCTTTGATCATTGACTCAGCAATGGTGCCAGGTCCAGCCTGTACAGGGACACAAAAAAAGATGGGACATGGGAGGGAGTGACAGGATGAGAACAATGCTAGAAAGAAGCAGATCAAGTGAGATGCAAAACAAATAGAGTGGGCAAGAACCATATTTGCAGCTCCAGTGTATCAATTATACACACCTTGCTGATGACACAATCTGAAGCTGCCATGACTTCGGGAATGTTGGTAACCACACCCTTGATCTGCGTCGGCATGGGCCACGTCATGGCTTCCAGGGTCGCCTGCAGCTGCTTGTTTCTCCCGCAAATCACAATCAGCTGTCCCTTCGCTCTCCCGCCTGGCATTTCCGGCGCCAGTGTTGTCGCCAGAGCCCTGGCGGTCACCTCAACTGGGCCCATGCCTTCGCCTCCGCCAATCAGCAGCACCGCTGGCAGTTCAGGGTCCATGCCTAGTGATTGTCGAACCTCGGCCTGAGGCCCCGAAGGCTTGGCGAAGGCGGGGCGGATGGGGAGCCCGTGCACCCGGATTTGCGATGGCTGAAGTCCGGCTTTAAGTGCCTGTTGCGCGACTTCCTTCGTCGGGCAGAAACAAACGCTGACTTGTCTGCTGAACCACGTCGGATGGCAGGTGGTGAGATCCGTGACTACAGTGATGAACGGGATGCGGTGTAGAAGGCCCCTCGATTTAAGCACACGCAGCGGAATGTGCTGCATCAACGGGTGCACGCTTACAATCACGTCCGGCTTGTATTTATCCAACCCCTTGGACACCGTCCGCGCCACAAACGCAAACGTCGCCGCCATCTGCGGCTGATGCACGAACTTGGGCTTCGTCGCATAGTAGGTCATTTTCCAGAGCGTCTCGTGTCGGACGAGAAAGTTGTAGCTCTTGGGGAGTTGGTTAAACGGCCATGGCGTGTGATCCGTCCACATGTCGACGACGTTGACGTCATACTTGTCACCGAATTCCATCTCGAACGTCGATTTCAGAGCCTCCGCGCTCGCGCGATGGCCCCCGCCAGTGTCACTCATCAATATTAGCACGCGCTTTCGCCGCGCAGGGTCCTGAACCTTCCGCTCCCACTCCGCCATTGCCATTGCGCGCGCCGCGTGCTCCACTGCAGATTTCGCCGGGCGACCCCGCAGGCGACTGTGAAGAGGACCGCGACTGCCCTTGCGACGATCTGCGGAAACGGGGCGATACGCGACATGCGAGGGAGAGGAAAGTTAAGTACAGCTTTATGACGGAAGCTGTGTTATGATGAAGGGAAAAATGCATGACGGAAACGGTATCGGCGGAGTTTGACCCGCCACCCTCCCATTGCCCCGAGGAGCTGTCGATCCGCCGCCATCCGTGCGAATGGCCAATTGGGCTTTCCCGTCAAATGAGAGCGAATACTTCCATCGCTCTGTGCTTTCTTTACTGCAACCCCCGCGTTCCCCCATTTCCGTCCCCGCGTTCCTTGCTCCGCCCCCCTCACCTTGGAGCGCGGCGCCCTTTTTGCCCTCCGCATTGCACTTGGCGTAGCCGTGGCTGCGCGGGTTGCGCCACAGAAACTGCTCCTTGACGGGCGCGGGGGGAGGATGCGCATCTCCCGCCAACACGGGTGGAAGCGGAATGAACGACCCAGGGGAAGGGAAGGCGGAAGACGACGATGAATCCCCCTCTGCTTGCTCGACTTTATCAGCCGATTTGTTGTAATCACCGCTTCCCTTTTCCTCCGCGTCTCCCGCCTCACTCTCCCCCTCCCCTTCTCCCTCCCCCTCCCCCTCCCCTTCCGCCTCCCCATCCCCCTGTGCTTCACTATAATCCGCCCCTTCCCTCCTATCCGCCAATCTCAACCCCTCACTCCCGTCAACCTCAAGCATCACTCTCGCCGCCGTGACATCCGCTCCCCTTCGACTCAATAGTATTTGTACTTCGGAGGAGACTTCCTGCGGCTCTAGCTCTGCCGAAACTGAACTTCCAGCCCCAGAACCTGCCGCGCCTCCTTCAGATCCCGACGTCGAGCAAGGCCCGGATTGCGTATCTGCTGCAATGTTGTAACCCGACTCGGCAAAAATCGCCCTTGCGAACTCACTACCGAAGAGCGACTTTGGCCCGCTTCGTTCCTCGATAGAGCTTGTTGGTTTAAGGCTGACGGTCTGGAGGAAAAAACACAGGAGAAACAGAAAACAAAACATCGAGACACTTAAGCGAAGCTGCACAGATATGTAACAGCAGAGGGCAATAACGATAAAGAAGCAACTAAATAGACAGACGCGGGAAATGGGGAAGGGACGGAGCTGAACGGGGGACAGATTCGGTATGAACCTTCGCGTGCTTACGTGGTGTGTAGTCGGGATGGCGTTGAATGAGAAGGCGACCATGGTGAAACCGATGACGATGAGAAACACGGAAGCGCGGAAACTCAACAGCGCCACGCGCCGCCCTTCTTGCCATTTCCGCGAAAACCATTTACTCGCTTCTGGTATCGAGCTCGGCGTTAGCAACCCCCGGGCTTTCCCCGAATGTAGCTTCCTCGCTTGCCGTTTACAGTCAGGCGTTACTGGGCTATCGGGGCATGGTAGTAGCGGCGTCAGGTTATCAGGAGATTTCGTCATCGGCCCGGGGCTCTGCCGACATGTCATAAAGAAAACGGCTTTCGGAGTGTCTCTGTCGCACGGTTTCGCACACGCGGGTAACTTTTCGTACGCGGGGAGCTCGGCGAGCGGCGAGCGTTCTGTAGTGTGGTAGTGGCGATGCGTGAGGAAAGGAGGGGGAGATGCCTGCAAGTGGATGTTCACGGATGGGTGATCGACCATAACTCCGCCACCGCGACGACGAGACGGACCAGCTAAGTACAGACGGGATGAATCAAGCTATGAAGGAGATGGGTGGCTGGCGGAATGTTGAGCGCGAGACAAGGAAGGGAAATGCAATTGATGGAGCGCTTTCGTCGTCTGGAGTATTTCCCTTTTCAACTTTGCCTGAGAAGTAAGTGCTGCTGATTGTAGATCTTGTGCTGTTCAAGTCGGCCGCGAGCTGATGCTGATTTCCTAGCGACACACACCAATCTTATTCTACATCCATAGTCGAGCCAACCTTTGCAAACATTGGTCTATGTCCCTCCTCCCATTGATCCCAAGCGACAGTATCCCACCGAACTGCCGACGAGCAATTAACCAGACACAGACATGAAAGCTCGACAAAGCAGCCACCGCTCCAATCCCACGACAACTAGCTTTCTCCGCGTGAGGAAATGAAAAAGATCGGTCTGTTTCGCATGCCTCTCCGCACCCTAGGCCGAGTTGCTGACGGTCTTGTTTGTGTTCGTCATCCAACTCTCGCTCTCAGTCGCTCATTCCTACACTTTCACTCGCACTCTGTCGCATAAGGTCGCAAGGTGCCGGGTGGGGCGGGGCGAAATGGAAAGCGCGTGGAGGGGAGGAACCGGGCAGGAGCGTCCAGCCCAGCCACCCACTGGAGACGTTCACTTCGAATTCTTTTGTTGTGATTCGTTCTGCTGCCCGTCGCCAAGCTTCTCCCCTCGCGTCGCGTCGCCTACCCTCACATGCTTCCGTGAAGCCCCAATTTATTTCATTTTGCCCCTCCTCCAGGCTAAACCTGCCTTCGCCCTCCGCCATGTCTTCCCCAAAGCATCTGCGCGCCTGCTCACTGCGGAAACCAGCTGCGTATGCGGTCTTTTGCGGAGAAACGAATTGTGCAAGCTTGAGGTGAGGGCAGAGCGGATAGGTTGATGGATGTGAGGGGTGTCCATTTTGCGGACTTGCGGGCGGGGAGACCATCGTTTGACGGGAGGACAGCGCTGCTGGTGGCGGGAGCTCAAGCGGAGATCGCACTGTAGTATAGCTCGACAACCGGAGCTGTCACCGAATTTCGAACTGCTTACCAAACCGAGCTAGGGTGGTGGTGGTGGTGACATGCCGAGGACGTGGGGGGCTACACGAGAACAGTAGGGAGGCAAGACGCTGCCGCCTTGGGAGAAGCGTAAGTTTTACCAGACCGCGTAGAGCGAGAAGGTTCGGGAGAGGCGAAGGCCAAACATGCCCAGCCGAAAAAATCCGAAGCTAGTGAGAGGTTTGTGATGTGCCCCATTGGATGCCTAAACCAAAGCCTAGAGCTACTGTTTCCAAGTCGCATTCTGGGGCTACTCACGATGGATGTGACACGAGCAGCTCGTCACTTCGTGGGGGTTTTGGGAGTCGCGGATGATTGATGGGAATGGCGGGAACCAATTACAACCGTTTCGCGACAATCAAACAACGGTAGGCTCCCCACCATGGCGTTTCCGACACCTATGCCCCACCGAACCTACGGCTTTGCCGTACATTCTGAAGAACCCGTTACTAGCCGCATATAGAGAACGTAGCTCACAATGATATACAGGTTAAAGTACATACAGACCAGTACAGATCACATCTTTTGTAGCAGAGTTACACTGGAAGAAAGCAAAATTTGCGAGCACGGAATGATGTCGATAAGTTACACCATATCAATTTCACAATATCATCAGCCGTCTATCAGCCGTCTTTCTGATCAACCGACTACCAATTGTTAGAAGATAGGTTCTTTGGCCTATAAGTTTTTTTACTGGTAATATATGCAGATTGACAACAATCACGATTGTAGAAAACGAGTTTCTGCTTTAGCTTGAGAGAGGACCCGCCACCACGTGCCCCGGTCAGCGGCCGACTATTCCCCCATCGTGCAATGCTTCACCAACGCTCGGCAGAACACCAAGCATGACTCGGCGTCTACACACGTAAGCTCAGCCCAGCCAGGCAGCGCAGCAGCATGATAGATGTGACTAGTAAGGTAAGTCATCTGCTTGATGTGGGATGAAGGCTCTACGTTCTGCCCGAATGAGAATCGAAAACCTTGCTTGCTCAATCGTAAGAAGCCATTGATGAGTTGAGAGTGAAAGATTTTCTTCAGCTGTAAGATGCCGAGTATCTCAGCTGCTTGCCGTAAGTGGCTTGGCCAAAAACATTTATTATTTGCATTCAAGTATATTCACGAGTCTGCGAGTCCAGGCTGGAATTCTTTTGTGGCACCACCTGCAATACGCAGTGCAATTCCCACATCGCGCAAACGTGGCGCATGCCATTTCCGTATGATGAACTTCTTTCCTGCCGTATTGCATTCTTTGGCGCGGCTCGAGCCGCCAAAGACGTGTCCGGGAAATTGGGCCGCGGCTGAGCCGATTCTTGGCTCGTCGCGGAAAAAAGCAAGATTGCACTTTCCGCTCCGTATCTTTATTCTTGAATATTCCCGCAACACACGCTGGAAACAATCAACCATCGAGTTGAGGTTTCTCATCTTATGTGCAAGATAGTTCTCCATTCTGCTGGACACACGTATGTTGGCGCACCCCTCCCTTTTTCAACGCTACACACGATATAATATTATCCGAAATTGCTTCCCATGGCTGCTTTTGAACCAGTCTGGTTGAATTCAACACCCCGTACGCGCCTCCTCCTCCTTTTCCTGTCTCTCCTCTTCCCTCCCTCAACCCTCTCTGCACGCCACCTCTTTCCCCAAGCCAGCAGCGAGTTTCTTCCGCAAGTTGCCACCACCCTTTCGCAAGCCAGCGCAGCCCTTCCGCAAGCGGGCGCCGCAAAGATTCTCCCCCAGGCAACCGAGGTCGACGCCGTGCGCAAGTTCCTCACAGCAGCGGGAGTCACCAACCCCGTCCCAGGCGCTCCTGCAAGCGCATGCAGCGTGGCCGGCATCGGCTGTGACGCTAATGAATTCGTCACGTCGCTCAACTTCTCCCCGTGCTTCGCCTACCCGACTCTCCTCACCGGCTCCATTTCGACCGACATCAAGAGTCTCGTGCATCTCACTCATGTCGACTTTTCGTGCAACGACCTGGGGGGTTCCCTGCCGACGGTTCTTGGGCTGCTGACGAATCTGCGGCGGGTGAACATGAGCGGAAACAGGCAACTTGGGGGGAGCATTCCCGCCTCAATTTTTGCGCTAAAGTCGCTTTCGGTGATAGATTTTCGCGGAGCGGATTTGTACGGTGCTCTTCCGACCAGTTCGGTAGCGTTTTCAACGGCACTTAGGCACGTGGACCTATCATACAACCGGCTCTACAATCCGATTCCATCGTCGATTTCTCGTTCGTACCGTCTGCAGCGGCTGGATTTAAGCTTCAACAATCTCAACGGCTACATACCGAAGCAGCTGAGTAACCTCAACTGGCTCACTTATCTTAATCTGCGCTGGAACAAGCTCACCGGAAGTGTTCCGACAGAAATATCCGGAGCGATGCTGCTGGAAAGGCTGCATTTGGACGGAAATAAGCTGACGGGAACGCTTCCCTCTCAATTGAACCAGCTTTCGTATTTGGAGCATCTGAGCCTGAACTATAACTACTTGTCTGGTGGTGTCCACCCTGCGATTTTCCGCATGTCTGCCCTGCGGAGGTTGGAACTTCGCCGCAACTATTTGAATGGGACGATCCCCAGGTGGAGATCGGGTTATCAAATGAGCTCCCTCGAGCATCTTGACCTCGCGAAGAATCGCTTTTATGGAAACTTGCCACCTGGGCTTGATGGTGTCGTGAAGCTCACCCATCTCGATCTGAGCGAAAACAAGTTTTACGGCTGGATTTCGTCACGGTTGGGCAGATTGACGGCCCTCCAGTTCCTGAATCTCGCATGGAACCAGCTAGGCGGAAAGCTTCCTGGATATTTCAGTTCCCTTCGCAATCTTAACTCCCTTTCCGTCGCACACAACAAACTGACTCGCGTGCGTCCCAACTTCCAGCTCAACGGAGACAAGTCGCCGCAAGCTGTTCTGGACCTGAGTTACAACCGCATAGGTGGAACTCTCCTTCGCTTCTCGTATCTGGCGAGAG